TCTTTCTTTACATGCTCTGCCATGCGTGAAACGAGGTGATCAACCAGCAGGCAGACCCGCCAGCCTTCCAGGCTGCTCTTGCCCCTCTCCTGCTTAGTCCCAAGCTATCAGCACATCAGGCCTGGCCAAAAGGCAAATCTTACGCCAGCCTTCCAGGCTGCTCTTGCCCCTCTCCTGCCTAGTCCCAAGCACAACAGGCCTGGCCAAAAGGCAAAGCTTATGCCCACACTGAGACAGCTAAGCCGGATTCCTCCATGTAATGCCAGCAATTGGCATCCTGTTACCATGATACCAAGCAGGCAGAGGCCTACTCACTTTTGGCTTAGCCAGGGAGCCTAATACAGGAGCATAGCTCATCGGAAGGTCCAGGAGATGACAGCCTCTTGGAAGGGATTGTAAGTATAGTGTCACTCTAGCTACCTGCAACAATAGCCATTTTCTCATCCAGTATATATTTTAGAAACTTTGTCTGTGTGTCCGTCTGTCTGGGACTCCGTTTTGTTCAAGAACGCCTCTGAAATGTTAAGAGCTAGGACCGCCACATTTGGTAGGCAACTTCCTCTTATAACGTCAAGCAAGGCCAAGGGTTTGGTTGTGCCAGGACAATGGGCTGTGCCTGGAATTCACTTGAGTCTCATCAAATGGTGAGGAAGGGGTCTGGTAGGAGGGAGTTATACTGTAGAATGACCACAGGGGGGCAGCAAATGGCCAGGGATGGGGACCAGGACAGTCATAACTCCAATGGGCCAGCAGGGGGCAGAGGTGGAGAAAGGGACAGCTATCTCTACTTAAGAGAGTTTGTTTGCGTGTCTGTTCACTGTGCATCTGTCCCTCAGTGGGGGGACATGCACCCCGGTCCTAAGCTGCTGCAGTGGGAGAGGGCTGGGGGGTTGTCCCCTCATCCCAGCCTCACCCCACAGCAATGACTGAAATGAAGAAAAACAAAACTTGAGTTTAGACCCCCAGCAAATCTTCTTGTAACCCACGAGTAAGACTTGACTGCTAAGTTCAGCAGTTTATTAAATTCCTCCTTTAAAAGTGCCATGCCATTTCCCCCTGCTACCTAGTCTCTCTGCAAAATGATTTTCCAAACCCCACGTTAAAAGTCCTTGTATTGTTTTTCAACCCACTTCTAAAATGCCTGGAGACGAGAGGAAGGGGCAGTTTCTTCAGCCTTTTCTCACACGCCGCAGCACTTTACTCTCATCAGTGTGAGATCACCAGCACTATTCCAGGAGGAAGGGTTTACTCGATGCAAGTAATAGTAGGAGAGTCTGGCTTTTAGAAAGTGATTAACTAGCATTGCATGGGATATGGCTAGAGCTAGTTTAATGACTAATATTTAGCATGTGTAGTGCTGTACATGTTCCAAGCATTGTACAAACATTAGCTACAGTCATTAATATGTCATTAATTAGAGTAACTCCTAATTAGTGTAAATAATGGTGCATCTCCCTCTATAGGTACCAAATGGATTTTGTGGACCTGAAAGCAAAGTACTACTGTGCGTAGATGGCATGTGTGAAACCAAGAGGGGAGAGAGAGTATTGCGGAGGGAGTGTAAAGGAAAGGATGAGGCATCAGAATGGGGGTGTTCACAACTTTTCAAAATGCAAATTTTGAACCCAGGGAACTCAATGTGACCCCCGTGTGGTGCCTCAGTTTCCCCATCTCCAAAACGAGATGCATGATATTGACTTCCTTTGTAGAGCACTTTGAGAGCTGAGTCCTTTGTTGTGTTCCTTTCGAGTCTGTGAAAGGGCTCTGAGGTCATTGCACTTTTTTTAGTGACTGCAGCCAAAGACCTATTATTACTATTTTGGGGGCCAGTCATGCTCTTGTGACCACAGTACAAGACCTACGGAACAAAGCTACTGGGCATTGTCACGTTATTGGGTTTTATAATGGGCAGACAGATCACTGCTGCACCCACTGGGGGAGGGAGGGGTTGCCCCAAAGTCTAACCAAACAGGAGCATGTGAGGTGTCAAATGAAAGCTTATGTTCTACTGCTTCTATATATGCTATGCATGTACTTGTATGATGTCTGTATGTGTAGATATGAATATGGACTCTGTGCTTGTACTGTGAATGCTCTCTGCCTGAGAAAGAGCAATGGGCCTCACCTGCCTGGTGTAAAGAAGGATTGTTCAGTCAATGACTATGCTAATTAGCACGGCCCCCAAGGACAATGGCTCTCAAGGTGGCCAACACACACCTGAGGCATGCCTCTGGAAATGTGCAAACCAGCCAGGGCATAATGGCGGCTGACATGTGAAACACAGGTAGGTCACTTGACCATGTGAGTCGCTCCAGCTTGGGCGACAAAGGAAGAGATATGTAAGTGCCATGAGGCGGACGCCATCTTGTCTTTAATTTTGCTACTGAGTCCCAGATGCAGCCTTGCGAGGGACAGAGAGCTGGGAAGGCTTGCTGACTCATTCTGACATAGGATGTACACCAGAGACTTTTAAGTGTGTACATCTCTGCTAAGAGCCTGCATCAAGAACTTGGTGATCAGTGTATGTAATGTGTTCTCCTTAACAACCTTACTCTCAACCTTTTCTTTCTTTTGTTAATAAACCTTTAGATTTTAGATTCTAAAGGATTGGCCCAGAATGATCTTATGGGTAAGATCCAAAGTATAACTTGACTATATAAAGGATTTGTGGCTGGTTCTTTGGGACCAGGAGGATCTGTTCAGGGTAGGTGAGATTGGGTTCTATAACCTCTCACTTGTGTGTAGGCCTGGGGCTGATTGTGGCACAGGGAAGGTTGTGATGTCTGAGGGGTTTTGCTCATGAGGCTTCCTACTGGCCGGATTGGCAGCTGAAGCGCTCTGCGTGACTGGTTTGTGACCTGTTTTGGGAAAGGTCTCCAGTTGAGGTCTGTAAGTAGTCCTGGTTTTGAGCAATTCACCCGGCGCGGTGTCCAGACCCAGCCCGATCCGTCACAGGTGTGCTCCAGCCCTGTTGTTTTCATTACTGGGCTTTCAATGCATTGATGCAAATACTAACTTTGGAGCACCCTGGGACATCAGAGTTGAAAAGGCACAAAAGCGAAGACCAGGTCCGGAGCCATCTTGTGACAAATATACGAATGCTTAAGAAAAGCTGCAGGAAAGCTCTTCAGATGGTATAAAAAAACAGCATCATTCCATTAACATCAGTGGAGCTGTGTCAGTTTACACCAGCTGAGGAACTGGTGGGTTAACAAAATCTGTCAGAATTCAGGAACCCTTCTGCTATTTACAGCCATCAGGTGAGTGCCTACAATCTCTTCTGCACTGCTTTACCTCAGCAAAACCCCCACGAAGATCCCAGAGCCCGTGCTGTCCTGTTTCATTTGGAACCGGAGGAGCGGGGAGAGCTGACGCGCTTTGGGAGAGGAGTGGCTGAGTAAAACACACCAAAACCATTTTTTTGCAGGTTAACACACTTTATATTTAACAAAATAATTTTTAATAATATATTTTTCACACATCAAATATTGTTGCTAGAACCCCATAGTGTTACAGTCACGTTTGGGGGGGTTTCCCCATCAGTTTTTCAGGCACACTGTTGTTTAGAGCATTTCGAAACTGGCTAGTCAGTGACAGCTAGCCGGTTACAAATAAACACGATGGTCCCTTCTTTCACAGTAGCAGTGTACGTGGGCCGCAGCCTCGGCGGGGTTAAACTTTTGCTGACTTCACCAGCGTTATGCTGAATCCCGCCAGCTGCGAATCTGGCCCCAAAAAAAACAAATGGGGAGGAAATAATAATGCAGAGGCAACGGACGGGTTGCAAACCAAGGATCTACTCCTCCTTCTATTGCCAGATCCTGAGCCGGTGTATCACAACACAGCTCCACTGATTTCAGAGGATCTGACCCCAAGTGCTTAGCCATTGATTCTAAAGTAGGTTGCTGGCTCAAAAATCTTAACAAAAATCAGGACTGGAAAAGCAAACAATGGTTCAAAAGACACTCGCTGTGACCTGGTGACAGGAGAATTGTAAAGTGGTATCGGTCGTTGGAGGAGGGCTGGGCTGGTGTTAGGTTACATCTTCAGGAAGACAAATTAACAGGTGTCGGTGCGATGAAGCCAGAAAGTAAAAATCTTGCCATGAGACACCCAGAAAGACTCACTCTGGCTGCTAACAAAGCCCACAGAGCTGTCCTTCTCCTGAAGATGGTTTATCATGCACCCTTGAACCCTAGTAATTCTCGCCATGGCTCTTGATGCAGAATTAGTACATCTTGGCTTCCCAACTGCATTTTCTCTTTCCATTCCCCCAAGAAGTTCTCGGTAGCTCCTTGACAATGGTTGTGTCATGGCTCATCTGCAGATTTGCCTTGTGTTCCAACCCCAGCCACGTCGTTTACTTTTTATTCCCATGATTGTGAATGTCAAAATTGGCACTAGGCTACCTGAGTGCAAAGGAACCCATGTCGCTCCACTTGTGGAGGGCCGCTACGTTGAGTGAGCATGAGTCAGTCATGTAGGGCTGCTCATGCATGAGTCGAGATCACGTATTATCTATTAGTAGCTGCCCCAACAAACTCCCCTTCCCCTCCACCGGTGAGGCAGACCAGTGTGCTGCGAGGAAACCCGTTTACTCAAGGTTTGAGGGCCAGCTCTTCACCACATTAATTTTAGGAATGGCTCTGCCTGGCACTAACTGCTATTAGAAGGGAGGACTCATAACATCTGTTGGAAACGTTCCGATCTCCTGTCTTGTGCTGAGTAGCCGCTTCCTCCATAGGTGGACCCATTGGCTAAAACAGAGCTACTCCAGGAGGAAGGATGTGAAGCCTAGAACTATAACAGAGTTTAAAGAGAAGCTAGATAAATTCATGGAGGTTAGGTCCATAAAAGGCTATTACCCAGGGGGTAGGAATGGTGTCCCTGGTCTCTGTTTTTCTGCGACTGGAGATGGATGGCATGAGACAAATCGCTTGATCAGTGTCTTCAGTCCACCCCCTCCAGGGCACCTGGTGCTGGCCACTGTTGGCAGACAGGCTACTGGGCTAGATGGACCTTTGGTCTGACCCAGTACGGCCATTCTTATGTTCTTAAGGATGGGCTCAGCAGGAGGAGGCGGTTAATAATCTAGCCTGGTATGACAAGTGCTGTTGTAAATCCATGTTGATGGGCCTACTTCAGTGGCACCAAAGGTGGCACATCATAAGAATCTGAGCCGTGGCCAGTTCCCACTGAAATAAATGGGAAGCATCCTAGAATGTAGGGATGGTATTGAAACTTGAACATTTGCTCATGGGCTGCTAGGGTCTAGGAGCATCAGAGGTGGAGGAGTATACTCATCTCCTAGGCATGGGGATGTTACACATGGATTCCTTGGCCATCGCCGTCATTATGGTCACAGGCTTGGGGGATGGTGAGAAAATGAGGGGATCATTAGACGTGTCCTCAGGAAACCCTATCTTGTCCACAGGACAGGAGAACACACTAGGCCATGGTGCACGCCCTGTATGTTAATAAGGGCATAGTTTTAGCTTGCTCTGTGAACTACCCGTTGTCCATTGTCATTATTTTGGCTGGTCTTCTAGGGCAGCTTTGTGAATTAGAGGCGTAGGTTTTAACATTTTTCTCTCATCCACTATTCTAATTCAGAATTTGTTGCCTAGCAAACAGAGCTTCAGAAATCTCACTCAGGGCTGGTCCGAGATGCATTTGGCCCTGCACTTGAACTAGAAACAGTGGGCCCAACCTTGGTCTGACTGAGGTCAAGTGAAATTTTGCCCTTGACTTCAGTGAGATGAGGGATTGGCTTGGAGGTGTGGCAGACACGGTGATACGGTCATTGCAGACGGCTCTCGGGGAAGCCATGTGTTGAAACCAAATCAGAGGGCAAGCGTCAATGCTGATCACACTCACAGTGCATCTATGCACCCAAACCCGATGGTTTACGCTAGCAGAAGCCACAAAGGGCCAAGTGCTCGCCGGCGTAAGGCAGCATAGGCACACCAGGAATGTACATGTGTTCAAAGTGATTACCAAAAGTCTGGAACAAAGAGCTTGATCATCACTGGTGACAAATGGTGCCGATTTTCAGCCTCGGATGCAAACCTCCTGTTTGCCATTTTTCAAATGACTTTAGTCCACGTTTCCCCTGTCAGGTTCATTGGTAGCAATGGAGTTGTGTCCACCTACTGCTGTCATCACAGAGTGATTTGATTGACAGTTTTAATGAATCAGTCATGGTTAATGTGTAGTTTCCTTCATCTTGATTGTCCCCACTCGGTGGAGAAAGCATAACACAGCGTCTTCCTAGGGTAACGCCGATCCCTCTCTTGCTCGGAGTCTAGCTCAATCTTTCTGCCGTTTACATTCCAGTTTTATTCCTTCCCTCCAGCCAGCCACCCCCCTCCCTCGCTCTCTGTTTTTAGCATCATTCGGCATTAAACAGGTTTTATTCTTGTTTAACCCATAATTACCCGGAAGACCCTGGCTGTGAGAAAGTTTTGGAATAGGCTTAAAAAAAATCACAACAGCAAAAATGCAGTTCACGTGGTTGGAAGTGCTAGAAGAGTTACACGTTGAGCGGAGGAATCTGTGCAGATTTTCCCTTCTGAAATGTTGGCGATTGAGTCCCCATCAAGCAAAAGCGGAGTAGATATCTAGCTACTGAATATATATTCTGTATACGGTGTGGGAGAGCACTTTCCAGGTAGTAAAAGAATTTGCTTTTGGGAACCCTAAAAGGTTTTGCTGGTGACGCTGTGGCAGCAGGCAGGAGGTTTCGCATGTGCCGTGTAGAAGCCACGACTCTCTTTTTTTGAAATAGACTTGTCATTGGTCTGGATTTGGTCTCTACAGAGTCTGCTTTCCGTGGCATTCGCGTTTGGAACACTGAGCGGGCTTCCACCAGTCCCCGTTGTGACAGTGACAGATGTTACACTCATCCACTTTCACTTCAATGCCAGCCGGAATTATGGTGGTTCCTGCAAAGCAGTTTGGACCTGGAAACACACATACAAAATACATAAATGGATTAAAATGGGGGGATGGGGGTGTCTCAGGCAGAGTGGGGGTGACACAGGGTGGATTGGAGAGTGATATTGATAACCGTTGATGTGTAGGGAGTCTGATGGAGTCATCCCAAAGAACAACCCCACCTCATCCCTTCAACTTTCCTTCCAGTCTTACATTTCCATTAGTACCAGGGGAAAGTCTTGTCCCCCACTGACATCAAGGGCTACCCTCATTCACATCAAAGGGGGCAGGATTTCACAGTTAAATAACATTGTCGTAAAAGCCACCGGAGCGCTGAGCTGGATCAAACTTTTTCCTTTCCTCATGCTCTTTCCCCATTCATTGGATACTTGATCATGTTCAAAGGCCTGATCCACTTATTGACAAGGTGGTGTTCCCTTCTTCCTAGACTGGCTACAAGACCGACCCAAAAACATTGGCACTAAATCTGCTGCGGGTGCAAATGGGCACCGCTCCAGTGAAGTCAGTGGAGTTCGGCCAGTTTACACCTGTGGCCCATGTGGCTGCTCTCACTTCCTTCAGCTCTGTCTGTTCATTCCTGGGCCTTCTGAGTGGGTGACGTAATACGTATGAATAATGCACGCGTCCATAATTGGGTTATCAGCCCCTCCTCCCCCCACGCTTTGCGATAGAATTGATTCCTTCACTCTGCTGACCTTGTCTTGCCTCTGAAGTCTGCAGGCCTTTTGTTTGCACGTGTTCAGAAACCCCTGACAAATAAAACATGGCCCAGCCGGTTATGTACATGCAACACTTCTCCCCTACACCTGCTCATGCATGCATAATGCAAATGGGTAATATTGAGCCTCAGATCTTAATACAATTAAATGTGAATTAAAGTCAGAGATGTGGGGGTGAGGAAGGGCTGTAGAGGTTTGACCTGTTGATGTGGGGGAATGTGGCAGGAAACTGATCTGGGTAATTTGATTGTCAGATGTACTCGGTTTTTCTGAAGACTGTGGCCAAGTTTAACACGGTCCTCTATTCATCGGTTTTTGCATTTGGCGATAATGCAATAGTTTAACATCAAAGCGCAAGAATCACAGGGTCATTATAGAGCAGATCTTGAAACTAGACTTAGCCTTGTTTTAAGGGAACACAGCTTCATTTGATTTTGCGGAAAAACTTGCCAGCTGTCTACACTGGCCACTTGAATTTCCGGAAAAGCACTGACGATCTCCTGTAAAATCATCAGTGCTTTTCTGGAAATACTATGCTGCTCCCGTTTGGGCAAAAGTCTTTTTCCAAAAGACTTTTGCGCAAAAGGGCCAGTGTAGACAGCATAGTACTGTTTTCCGCAAAAAAGCCCCGATCATGAAAATGGCGATCGGGGCTTTTTTGCGGAAAACCACGTCTAGATTGGCCACAGACGCTTTTCCGCAAAAAGTGCTTTTGCGGAAAAGCATCCTGCCAATCTAGGCGCGCTTTTCCGAAAAGACAGAAAAGAAAACAGAAAAGTTTTCCGTTAAAAGCATTTTCGGAAAATCATGCCAGTGTAGACGTAGCCTGTATGTTTATTTCACTTGTGGTGCATCTTCCATCTCTATTTCAAGGAATAAAAATGTGTATCTGCAAACGTGTGTCTGTAAGTAACTGAGAGAGGGGCATGATTAATTGGAGCTGGTGAGACATTGCCCATTGGAGTGATTTTTCTAATGGAAAATGATGCTTCTGTAAAAAAAAAAATTTTTTAAATCCAAAACACTGATTTGGCCAAACAATTTTCATTTTCCATCCCGAATTTTATTTTGGTTTGGTTAGAACCAAATGAGAATATTTCATGGTCAGAAATGACCCAACATGTTTTGCTTTGAATCAATTCAACGAAACATGATACTGCATTTTCTCATTGTGGTACGTTGCCTTATAGGAAGTCTAATTCTGACGTTGATTCTCTACGGGTTGAGCTCCTGAGAGGACCACATCACCTGTACCAAGGCAAAATAGATGTTTAAATGTCAGAATTTCAAAGTGACACTCGCTTCTACTTACCATACTAATGCTAAGAGTCAATTGAACGTTTATTTTCTGCAATGGGTTTTGTGTACTTTAATATAGTCATCATTCTCAAGCTGCGATCATCAGTAGATGTTTCCCAATGAGTATACCTCCCAAATTGAAATTATGTATCATACAGTAGCACCTTTACTAAATGCTGTTCACACACATAATAAGAAGCGGGCCCAGTCGAAACAATCTTACAATCTAAAAACAGACAAGCCAGATGATGGATGGGAGGGGAAATGACTTGCCCAAGGACACACAATAAATCAGTGGCAGAGTTTCCTAATTGCTCAAACAATATCTCATACACTGGCCCACCTGCATTTCTAGGTCAAATCTTTGGAAACAGCAGGAAGTTATTAAGCAAACATGTACACACACAGACCCAAGCATACACTGGAAATGCTCTTCCAGTGTCTTACGTTTTGAAATATTCAGTTTGCAAGACAAGCCCAATACTTAAGGACGGGGACTCTTGCTGGATCTGGTAACCTGGCCTCCAAACAGAAGGAACTTAAGTATAGAAACACATGACATGCAGTGGTCATCTACCTGAATGGGTACCTCCATTCCATGGACAGTGGACAGCAGCTACTGATGACAACTTGAGAAATATCTCCACGTGAATAACTTTTCAAGTGACTCCCAGTGAGACCCTGTGTTTTTACTTCACTCCCTACTCAGAAATACAGCTCAAAACCATCTCCCCCGCCCCCTTCACAAATCTGTTTGTAGGGATACCGTTTGTAGCATCGTGCTATGCGAAACGTCACACGTGTATCTCAACATTTGCTCAGCCGTCTCGCTTGAAAACAGGAGTTATTTTGAGCAAAGAGAGATATCGGGGCGCTCTAAATTATAGCTGAGTTTGAATCAGAGGAGTCAATCTGATCCGTGCCTGTCACAGCAATGCCTTGGACTGGGACAGTCTGGTATCACACCAAAGAGGTTTGCATTTTACAGCATCCGAAAACTATTTCTTTCCTCTCGTTAACTTTATTAATACCGTGACTTTACAGTGCTCTTCTCAGCACCCACAGGCCACAAGCTTGACATTGCTGGTCTTAACTACCCAGAAGTAATTTAGATAGCTGTCAAGCAGGATAATTGGTGTCTCTTGGCTATTATTCACATTTAAATCATCCCTCCCTTTAATAAGCGCTGCTATAAATTGAGATCAGCTTTGTCTCGCATTCTACTGTCTGCACTAATAGAATCACAATAAAACCATATGAGTGAGACACCCTTGATGACTTTCGTGCTAGTATTTGGAGCTATTATATTCACCCCGTACCTGTTACTTTGCTGCCATCCTCTTTCACACTCAGGGAAGAGAGACAAATGAACAGAGTCATGTAGCTTACAAAGAAGTGGTTCCTATGGTGTGCAAAGGGAGCGTCCAGATGCGCTGCATTTCAGACGTAGCATGCTTCAGGTGGGAGAGAAAGGATTCTCTTGTGGTTCAGATTCAGGAGATTTGCATTCAGCTTTTACCTCTGTCACTGACTTTTGCTCTCTGCCGCAAGTCCCCCTTCGGCAAAATGGGAATAATCGTAGAATGCTAGAACTGGAAGGGACCTCGAGAGGTCGAGTCCAGTCCCCTGCCCTCACGGCAGGACCAAGCACCATCTAGATCATCCCTGAGAGATCTCTGTCTACCCTGCTCATACGTAGCTCCGGGGTTGGAGATTCTACAACCTCCCCTAGGCAATTTATTCCAGTGTTTAACCACCCTGACAATTAGGAACTTTTTTCTTATTTCCAACCTAAACCTTCCTTGTTGCAATTTAAGCCCATTGCTTCTTGTCCTGTCCTTAGAGGCCAAGGAGAACAATTTTTTCTTCCTCCTCTTTGTAACACCCTTTTAGGAACTCAAAAACTGCTATTATGTCTCCTCTTAGTCTTCTCTTTTCTAAACTAAACAAGCCCAATTCTTTCAGTCTTTCCTCCTAGCTCATGTTCTCTAGACCTTTAATCATGTTTGTTGCTCTTCTCTGCACCTTTTCCAATTTCTCCACATCTCCCTTGAAATGTGCTGCCCAGAACTGGACACAATACTTCAATTGAGGCATAATCAGTGCAGAGTAGAGCGGAAGAATGATTTCTCCTGTCTTGCTCACAACACTTCTGTTAATGCAGCCCAGATTCATGTTTGCTTTTTCTGCAAGTGTCACACTGTTGACTCATATTTAGCTTGTGGTCCACTTTCTGCCGTACTCCTTCCTAGACAGTCACTTCCCATTCTGTGTGAAACGGATTGGTTCTTCCTAAGTGGAGCACTTTGCATTTGTCTTTATTAAACTTCATCCTATTTACCTCATACCATTTCTCCAGTTTGTCCAGCTCCTTTTGAATTATGTCCCTATCCGCCAAAGCTTGGTATCATCTGCAAACTTAATAAGCATACTCTCTGTGTTAATATCTAAATCTTTCCTTTGTTGTCCTGTATATTTAGACTATGAAGCTGCTCTGGGCAGAAGAGTTTATCCACATTCTGCCCTCTGTATTCCCAATCTTGGTGGGAACCTCTGGGTGATCATACAAATAATGGACAATAAAACCATGGTAGACCCATGGTTTAACCAGTAATAACCGTGTAGTTATCATGGAGTGCTAATAGTCTCCTCATTAGAGCAAACTTTAAATGACCACCCAGGCTCTCCTCACTAGTTCCTGTGACCATATTGCTAGAAAGACAGACAAAAGCAAAGAATGTGCTCCATGAGATCCCAGGTGTGTTTGAGAAGAGCAGGTTTACTCCAAAAAGGAGTGAGCAGGGCCAGATCCATGCCCAGATTCTTGCCCAGGTGAATGCCTAGAAAAGGGAGCGTGTTGAAATCGATTTCTTCACGCAGTGCTCAGTCAACCTGTGGAACTCCTTGCCAGAGGAGGTTGTGAAGACGAGGACTTTAACAGGGTTCAAAAAAGAGCTAGATAGATTCATGGAGGTTAGGTCCATCAA